GGGGACGGGGGGCAGCAGAAGGACCTTAACGGAGAGCACAGCTTGGGAGGCTGGGAGACCACTGCTCGGGTTCCTGTCAGCGCCACGCTAAGGATTCACAACTCACCCTCAGAAAACATTTCACTCCACGATCAACACCTTGTCGTTATTCCGAAGGGAACGCACTGTGACGCATCCTGCAAACACGGGACCGTGTTCTCGCACGTGCTCACGATGACACATCCCAGGTACGAGGAGGATGAGGCCATGCAGCCGGGGAGCACTCCTTCGGCTCGCCCAAGAGGCAGGACTGAAGCTGAGGCCCACCCTCAGGTACCCGCCTCTGCCCTGCGGAGTGCTTGGCTGCGCTGTAAATACTGCAGCAGCGCTGAAGCTTCTTGGCAGGGCCAGTGCAAGGGAGGGTTAGGATTTTCTTAAAAATACAAACACACAGAGAACTTCTCAGAAGAATGATACCTCCAGGAAGGGGAGAGGGAAACGAGGCAAGAGGGGAATGATGACTAGCCCTCTGAATCATCAGGAGCAGAAGACAAAGTACTTCTGCCAGCAGCAAGGCACAGACTGCGATCAGGCATACGCACTATCCAGAATCCTTTCGCCCTCCATAACGAGCTTCAGAGTGAGGAGGAGGAGGTGGTTAAGTCTTAGGCAGATTTTCTTACACAAGCTGGTAGTTTTAAATAAGGCTTGCGTTTAGAGCACCGTAGGAAAACTTGCCACGATCAGTGGCAGAGGGGCAGGGAGCAGATAATGAAAGTTTAATTAAACGAATAGGGCTATAGATTCAAGAGTGGAGTTTTACTGCTAAAACATGGGGTTTGGCCACAAGCACAAATCCGATCTGCAGCACTACTAAACACCCACTGTTTCCAACAAATGATAGTTTTTGAAAAGCAGGTCCCCACTGTGCTGGAGCTGCGGCTTTTTAGCAAAAAGCCACACAAATGCCACCGGATGCAAGAGGCAAAACAATGAAGCGGGATCCTAACTTCTTGCCAAAGGCACGATGAACCAAGACTTCCCACTGCTGCTCACTGTCTTCAGTCTGGCAAACTGGAAACTGTTGGGTACTGTTGTTGTCTGTCACCCTGCTGAAGCCAGAACGTGCTCTGCTGGGGCAGCGCATCATGGTGAGAAGATGCACCTTCTTGCTCGAGAAATACCCAATATCCGAGTGCTTCACGCTTGTGTTCTCAAAATACATCCTCTGAAATACAAACATCCCTGCATGTACTTAAATTTCAAGGTGGAAGAGGATGAACAGGCTTCTAGCTGTGGGATGAAAATGAACTTCTCGGTGGACTTGGGAACTGCACCTCATTCCCCCCTGCCCTGCACACCCGCTGCTCGGACCAAGCACCGAGCAGGCCCAAGTCGCTGTAGAAGTTCACACACCAACAGGATCATCCCGCTCATGTCAAGGCACGCTTTCTGCCTGCTTGTCTCTCCTGCTACAGAAGAGGCTGGAGTATTCTGGGCATCCAGACGGCGTGACCCAGCCAAAGGCCAAGAGGTAACTGAACAGACTTCGAAGCAGACCAAGAATCAGTTTGTAGACAACCTGACATAGGTTCCTCCTCGGCATCACCCACTAGGGAAGCCTTCTCCCTTCACTGACAACACAGAGTGCTCACCAAGGCACCTTCACCTTCAGAGCGTGCCGCCAAGCTTCAAGACCAGCCTGAACACCGCCTGTCCCACCGGCTGGCAGGGGAGGCGCGGGCAGGCTTGGCTGATGGTCACCTACGCGCAGCGGCTGCTGCCTTAGGGAAGAACGTCAAGGAGACCCGCAGGGACACGTGTCTAGAGGTGAGAAACTGACTGGGACCCGGGGAACCGTTTCTGATGGTGGAACAGAAGCTACAGCCCCACACGTCACCTCGTCCTTCGCTTCAGCTACGTGACAGACCTACAGCTTTAACCCACGGCGACACCAAGGCCACTGGAAACTGTCCACCCTGGGGTGCAAGTTCCCATCAGCTGTGTTTAGGTACGGGCCAGCAGTCCGGAGGAGCACAGGGCACAGTGACTGACGGCGACTAAAGGGGCACCACGGCGTGTGGGAGGCTGTGCACCCTCCAACTGGGGACCAGCAGCCCAAGCCCAGCAAACTCAGCAAGGACCAGGGGAATGGTGACCCGAAAGGGACAGCAACAGAGCACAAAGCTGCTGAGCTATGAGCCCAGCCAAGAGCCTCCAGCAATTTTTCAGGGACATATTACAAAGAATTGAGACCAACACCTTGGCAGATCTCACCACCAATTAACTGAAAGGCGCCAGTGAGGTGAAATCTCCAGTCTGCATTACGGAGGGCTTGCAGTCCAAAACAAAAGGGAAGGTGGGATTATATCTATTGAAGACCCCTGCCCAGGTAGTCCCCCAGCTACCTGGGCCCCCTGGACACCTCCCACCTGCACATGCAAGGGACACCGAGGGACCACACGCCAGAGAGGACACTTCTGCCATTGCTTTTGGGAAGGAGGCACAGCACATCTGCACCAGCGCTACCCGACGGACCCTGCAGGGTGTGATTCGGTCGGGTCGAGCGGGTGGAGCACGCGCTAGTGAGACCCTCCCTGCTCTTTAGGGAGGATCGTGAGGAACAAGGTGGGATCCTGGGAAAGGGCAGCATGTTCCTGGCTGTACAGCTGCACACCAGCGTCTGTACAACAGACTGCAGCAAACCATCACGGAAAAATTCTGGGGAAGATTGACTGAAGCAACTGAGCAGTTTTATGACCGTTAATGCCATGCACAGCAGTGGAAGCCAACACAGGGGTAATCAGATCCCAGATTCTCCGGTATTAGAGGATGATTATCAGGGTCAGGAGGAATTCTCTCTGCGTTCCACATGCCTTACACAACTGCTCGGGGATCCTGCCTTGGCACAGAGTGGTTTCTTCGCCTCTCTCTGAAACGCCAAGCACCGACCCACGCCAGAGGCAAAGCAAAGCAGACTTCCTGCAGCCCCGGCTTGGTTGGGCACGGCAAAGCTAACCCTGCTGCAGCCGCCACATGTCGCTGTAAACCGCCAGCTTCGGGAAGAGACGCTGTGCTCACCTTCCAAAGGGTGACGGTCATTCTTTGGTAACTTGGGGGAGAGAGGAGCACTGTATGGAGGGGAATCTTGGGAATATCGCTTTGTACCCCGGCCTGGTCCCTGCAGAGTGCCGTCTAACGAACTGCTTCTGTCTAGGAAAAGAGAACAAGCCCTATTTAGGAGTGGAGACTTTCTGGGAAGTTCAGTCTTGCCAGAGCCACTCGAGACTCGGGTGCACTGCCAGCCTGGGAGCAGCCTGTTAGAGCTGCAATCCAGCACATCTGCCAGTGCTCAACATCTTGCGCTTCGCTCTGCAAGTTTTATCAGAGAAAAAGGGTGGCAAGAAACCTAATGGAGAATCTTAGCCACATTTTGCCGGTTTTCACCCCAAACACCACCTCTGATGGACTTCATTCCACTTCTCCGCGTTCTGCCCCTCGGCTCACCCCACACGATTCGGGCTCCTCCCCACTCTGCACCTTCCAGCCGCACGCACGTCACCCCCGGACGATTTGCCATCGACCCTGGATGATTTGCAAACGCGCTGTGCCACCCACAGTGCTTGATTAAACCGCGCTCAAACTGTCCACCTTCCCCCAAACCCATCCCTCCAGCGCCCCAGCTGTCGCTGCTCTTCTCCGACCGCTTCCCAGCGACGGCTTCTCCAGTTTGGCCGCGGCAGACGCGACATCGGGCCGGGCTGCCGGACGTCCCTTTGCAGAGGGTAAGGCTGCACAGCGTGTCGGGGGGGAGGAAAACAGAGCATGGGGGGCGGCCACG